ATCTTTTATTTATATATTGCTATATATAGAATTGAGGTTTTAATCTAGGAATAACTCACAGATAAAAGTTTTATTAAACGTAAGATAGAATTTCTTTATAAAATATTATAATTTCTAATGGACCAAATTTTTATGAATATCTTTCGAAATAAGATAAGAATAATTTAGAAAATATTTTATTTTTTCTATCTTTAATATTGAATATTATATAGAAATCCTACAACATCTTTGAATAACGATAATATTTAGATTCTAAGCTTTTTCTAAGCTTATCTGGGATTTTATAAATTTAATGATATTAGCAGTCCAATGCCTTAAACTCTCAGCTAACATATAGTACATAAGGTTATAGATCATTCATTGTATCCAAAACTTGTATAAAAAATCCAATAACAAATATTATAATATTTTATTAACATTTACCTCAAAATCAAATTCAGTAAGATATGCTCACATATCCATCTAATATCAGAGATATAAGATATGTTTTATGAAAATTCTTAAATAATAAAAAAAAAACATTAATTGAAAAAAAATCAAGAAAAAGTATCAATAGAAGAGAGTTTATATTTTAATATTTTATTAACATTTACTTCAAAATCAAATTCAGTAAGCTATGCTCAAAATTCCTTCAAAAATCAGAGATATAAGATATGTTTCATGAAAATTATTAAATTATGAAAAAATAATAATTTAAAAAAAATCAAGAAAAAGTATCAATAGAAGAGAGTTTATATATTTTAATTTATTCAATACAGAGAATATATATATATATATAAATAAATGTTTATATATATAATAAAATTATAGTTTTATATATATAAGAGAGTTATATTATATAACCTGTGCCTGTAAAGTTATAGTAATAATTGGATATTAAATTTTGCTCAGGAAATTATAAATTATATATATATATATGGCTAAAATATAAAGTACATTATTTTTAAAAACAGAGAAAAATATAAAATATATATAAATAGATTCTATTTATTTTCAAAAATGTAAAAAGTGAAAATATAAATTATTTTTTGGAAGAGAATATATATATATGGCTAAAATATAAAGTACATTATTTTTAAAAACAGAGAAAAATATAATATATATATATATAAATAGATTCTATTTATTTTCAAAAATGTAAAAAGTGAAAATATAAATTATTTTTTTGAAGAGAATATATATATATATGGCTAAAATATAAAGTATATTATTTTTAAAAACAGAGAAAAATATAATATATATATATAAATAGATTATATTTATTTTCAAAAATGTTGTAAAAAGTGAAAATATAAATTATTTTTTTGAAGAGAATATATATATGGCTAAAATATAAAGTACATTATTTTTAAAAACAGAGAAAAATATAAAATATATATATATAAATAGATTCTATTTATTTTCAAAAATGTTGTAAAAAGTGAAAAATATAAATTATTTTTATTGAAGAGAATATATATATATATTCGAAAATATAGAAAGAGAGTGTTATACAAAATTATTTAAATATATATAGAGACAGAAATATAATATATATATATATATATATATGAGAGAGATTGCTATTTTTTGTGACCATATCTATATACAGAAAAAACTAACTTGAACAAAGTACTCTCTATTTGGAAATGTTAAGTTTTTTATTTTGCAACCGTTCCTATTTTTATAAAACAAATTAAAACAAATTTCTACTGTCCTTACTGCAATGTTAAAGATATTGTAAAGGCATATATCATCAATGATGAACCAGGCCATTGCAATATCTTCATCATTGCAGTATAAGGACAGAGTAAAAATTGTTTTAATTTGTTCTACTTTATAAAACAATTTTCTACTGTCCTTACTGCAATGATAAAGATATTGTAAATCCTGTTTCATCAATGATGAACCAGGCCATTGCAATATCATTATCATTGCAGTATAAGGACAGAGTAAAAATTGTTTTAATTTGTTCTACTTTATAAAACAATTTTCTACTATCCTTACTGCAATGATAAAGATATTGTAAAGGCCTGAATCAACAATGATGAACCAGGCCTTTACAATATCTTTATCATTGCAGTGTAAGGACAGAGTATACAATTGTTTTAATTTGTTTTATAAAAGTATAGAATAAATTAAAACAATTTCTACTCTGTCCTTATACTGCAATGATAAAGATATTGTAAAGGCCTGAATCATCAATGATGAACTAGGATTTACAATATCTTTATCATTACAGTAAGAACAGTAGAAATTTGTTTTATAAAAGTAGAACAAATTAAAACAATTTCTACTGTCCTTATACTGCAATGATAAATATATTGTAAAGGCTTGAATCATCAATGATGAACTAGGATTTACAATATCTTTATCATTGCAGTAAGGACAGTAGAAAATTGTTTTAATTTGTTTTATAAAAGTAGAAGCGGTTGCACTATGAAATATCTTCATCATTGCAGTAAGTAGGGCTACGTGGGGGGGCGAAAGAAGCAGCACAAGTAAGGGATTGTCCTGTAGGGCGAAGTACGGTGGGGACATCCTTAGCCCCGAGCCGCTACGGTAACCGTGAAGGGCTACAGGGAACTCTGAAATGCGGCTGACTATCGAGGCTATGGCACCTACCCTTTCCATGGAGTGGAAAAGATACCACAATTATTTCAGTAAGGATAGCGGAAAATTGTTTTAAATTGTTTTATAAAAGTAGAAGCGGTTGTACTATATCATATTTTTATCGTTGCAGTAAGTAGGACTACGTGGCGGGCGGGTGAAGCAGCACAATTAAGGAATTGCCCTGTAGGGCAAAGTACGGTGGGACTTCGTGAGCCCCGAGCCGCTACGGTAACTGTGAAGGCCTACAGGGAACTATGAAACGTAGCTGACTAACGGGGCAATGGCACCCCCACTTTCCATGGAGTCGACAAGACACCACTACCACCATCATTGCAGTAAGAACAGTAGATTATTGTTTTAATTTATTTTATAAAAGTAGAAGCGGTTGTACTATATCATATTTTTATCATTGCAGTAAGTAGGGCTACCTGGCGGTGCGAGAGAAGCAGCATAAGTAAGGGATTGCCCTGTAGGGCGAAGTACGGTGGGGGCATCGTTAGCCCCGAGCCGCTACGGTAACCGTGAAGGCTTACAGGGAACTCTGAAACGGGGCAATGGCACCCCCACTTTCCATGGAGTCGACAAGACACCACTATCAACATCATTGCAGTAAGAACAGAAGAAAATTGTTTTAATTTCTTTTATAAAAGTAAAAACGGTTGCACTATAAACACCTTATATTTCCAAATAGAGATGGTGTGCTGATGGCTAAAGTACTATATAAATCTATTTACACACACTTACTCTTTATTGTTGCTTTTATTCCTGTTTCTAATTTGAAATAATAGATATAACACACCCAGTTCCTGAGAATGTTTTATTTCACAATATTTCCTCTAGAATAAAATATATTCCCTGTTAAAATATCATAGCTTTATATCCTGTTAAATATACATATAAAATATATATATAACTTAATTATTTGTTATGTAACACTCCCATTGTGTCTTCAATGTTTCTAGATTATATAATCCGAACTGTGTGGTCTTTTGTTCAATGGGATGTGTTACAATAAATTATTTATCCGTACTTGTGTGTCGTTTTTTTCTTCCTATTCTCACAGACAGTCTCGATACGGTTTTCCAACTGAGAAGATTATATTGAAAATATGGTTTAAAAGGTATATTTATACATTTCTCCCTATATTTTAGTTATCCAAATATTTGTGAGTCTGTGAACCTGGTCAAATATGTAATTATATTCATGCCTCCTTCTATTATATACACCTATCCCTCGATTTACACGGTACTTGTTTTACACGTTTTCGCCTTTACACGGTTTTCCAAATAAGGGTTTTTTTTTTGTTTTTATCGCACTATACTAAATGCTACTGTGATTGAACACATGCGCTGTGTACACATCTCACAAGGAATCCCGAGCTTATGTGCTGACTACATATTTTAACCTGTCAATGCATTTTATTTTTTCTCAGGAACGTATCTACCGTGTAAATCGGGGGATAGGTGTACTCAAATATTTATTAGGCCTAAATGATGTACAGGAGATCCTCTAATTTATTGAGTCTAATTTTGACTCAAAGAAATATCCACCAGAGAATTATAGTTAATAACTTACAACGGCTTAAAGGATATGTGTCTTGCTTTATTTATATATTATCTCAAGCTTTCGGGTATTTTTAATCTCTCTAAGGCGATAGAACCCTTCTACATGTTCAATTTTGTTATATATACTTTTGAATATATATTTATAATACTCCAAATGTTTGTGAGAATGTATGAATAAAGCAAGAAATTTATTCTTAGAAGCCGTTTTTATCTTATTTATTTATCAGAAGATTTAATCTTTCGAAAGAATTATGATAATTAATTCATGCATCATCAGCATCAAAAGTAGTCTAGCTATAAAACAAGGTAAACTACCTAGAACAAATAAAGCTATCAAGTGGAATGAGGTAAGAAAAGAATAAATGGAAAAAATAAATATTTCAGATATATGTACTGAGTAATTATATAAGTTATATTTAAAATAATAATAATATATATATATTATAAATGAAAATATTAGATTTTCTGCTGTTTTTTGATTGTTATTTATATAGAACTAGCCGAATGACCCGGGCAACGCCCGGGTTTTACGCGATTAAATGTTTTTATTCAAATACTATTCGTTACAATTATAAATTGGAGCCGTGGATGTCACTCTTGTGAAACGTCCCGCTCCAAACTTTACATGTACATTAGGTCAGCTGGTATTAACCCTCATTTTCACCGCTAGAGGCGCGAGCGAAAGAGCAAATTTGCAAATAACACGACGGATATTCGGGATAGAGACCTGAAATTTTCACTAAGAATTTTTCCAGATTCTACTTTATATACTGTTAAAATTTCAGTCAGATTAGTTACGTATTGTGGACGTGTACAGTTGACAAACATACATACGTTGACTTTTATATATATAGGGATAATAATATCGAAGTCGAACCCGGGCCGCCCGCGTGGCAGGCGAGTATTCTACCACTGAACCACCTATGCTTATTAGAAATGGCCATATTTGGGTATTTATTCTATTCACAAAAGCAAACGGTGACAGAATTGATTGTTGATGACTCTGATACTTGTATATTTTAATTATATTTCATTTAAACGTATTTTTAAATCATACGCGAGTGATTGATTTTATTTATATATTTTTTAGTAATATTGCTACAATTTACGTTTTTTATTTCCTTTGTGATAGCCTATTCACACGCTCCCTCTCCTATTGAAAATATATCTCTTACCTAAAGGTATTTACACCTTTCGCTCTCTCATTTTCTAATATAGCAATAATATTTTCTCCTTTACAAAAAAATAGGTTGGTAAAGAGATGAAGAGGCATCTTTTATATAGCGCTGAAATCTTCTCTGCGGCGTCTGCTCATAAAAACCTTTTAGTGGAGCACGTCGATCACTGGTGTCACAGCAGCATATATTTCACTATGCACATTTTTAATGCATCAAATGATTTTTTAAGCAAAATAAACGCTAGAACCACTCTCATTCAGTTGGTTAACTTAATATAAAAACAAACCCCTTAATCAATCCTATTCCGAATTTAATATAATCGAAACCTAACCTAATGTGAACTCAACCTAAATGAACAAACAGAAAACTATTGAATATAAGTTAATTAAGAACTCATAGCTTCTCTGAAAACAACAGATGCTCTGAAATGTTGCGAGACAGCATACCAGGATCTAGGAGTGAAAAGCGAAAATAACCTTTTACGTATGTGTACCATGTCCACACGTGGTTATCTGAAACAATAGAGACGTCGTGGTATAAGTAGCGACATTTGTTCTAGTGTGGGCATATGATGTGAGTACCTATGAAATTGAGAGTGAATATCATGTAATCCAGGTTGAGCTGCTCGGAATTAAAAAAACTTAAATAATTTCTATAATTTTGAGTATTTTGATAGAGTGAGTAGAATATATTAATAGTTTGTGAACTGTATATCTATAAAAACGGCAGCTTCCTAGAGGCTGATATAGTCTGTTGCACAGAAGCAAGTAGGTTACAATGTATATTATTGTGGTAATGGTAACGTCATGTATAGCAGGGAGATAAATATTATTATTAATACAAATATATGGTGGAATATATGGGGAATGTTGTACAACATTGTTTTGATTAATGGGGTTAGTCGTGGTACTAGACAATCAGTTAATAATGTTTTTTTCTCTGGTATTGTCTCGCTTCGCGAAACACCACGAGTAGCGTTGAGAGGAGAGATTATTTTGTTTTTTGCGATGAGGGAAGCACAATATGTATGAAGCGAGTTGTTATAAAGATGTATGGTATCAGGTATTTGAATGGATATTGTTTTGTTCTAATATCAGTGTTATCTGCATGCGCCTTATTTTTGGTAGTCATTAAATTGACTATTTTCCTTATTATGAATAGCGTCTGAATTGGCGTTGTCTTGGTCGAGGGAAAGTCTGGTTTCCTTAATTTTAATATATTTATGGATATATTGCTGTGGCTGGAGCAGAATCGTGGTAGAGTTTATTCATATGGTCGTAAGTGTGAATTAATAAATATAGAATATATATACACCTGTGTGTATGATGTGTGTAATTATATTAAGCTCTTGTTAAAATTCACTAGAAAGAAAAATAAATATTTTGGCTCATTTTTAGCAATTTTTATCATTGTGAATAATTAGATTTAAATGATTGAAAATAAAAGCGTCGTGGACCATAATAGTGAACTTCAAATTAATATGATTTAATATGTAAAGCAACTGATTAGCGAGTTTACGGTTACTAATTATTTACTTATTCACTCAATATATATGATCATCTGACGCTGCTTTTATTTCGCTCATATAATGGCAGAGGCTGATATATTCATTTTTCCTTTTTAGTGCACACACATTTCACTAAAAGCTTATTTTAAAATAATGCCTTTTATGTATTGATTATTTATTTATTTGGAATATTTGTCATGAATTCTAAATTTACAAAATATTTTATTTGTGAGTTAAAATATTTATATATACGAAATCTGAATATATATACATCAAATATTAAACTCAGTATTATCAGGTAAAATAATTGGCACACAATGACATTAGAATATTTAGGTTCTTAATAATATATATCTAATTAACTCTAAAGTTCCTGAAGGGTTCAAAATTATATAAATTCCCAGGTGTCACACAAGTCTCAAGTCTTTGCGATTTATTTACAATATATTAGATAGCGTTAAGCAGATTTGTACCACGACGCATTGCGACTTGCAGTACTTCAAATGAGTGGAGCAAACGAAAAATGCAAAACGATTGAAACGATCTAATTCAAACTTCCACAGCATCAACACAACTCTGACCTACACATGCAACCAGTTACTACCTGGAAACTTCAATCTCGCGATACCTTTTCCACAATAATTTATAAATATCTAAATTTCAACGTCAAACCTAATCTTCTTACAAACAGGCGGATGCACAAAATTAATTTTAGATTTTTAAAATTAAAGAAAATTGTCAAACTATGTTCTTTTTTCAATACTGCTACTTACTGTCCAAATCTTTTGCATGGATCTTTATATTACAGGGTTTCCCTTTCTCACAACTGTAGTCAGAACTATCTACAAACACAATATTTTTACAGCAGATAAAGTATTCCAAAGGTTTTATGTAAAGAATAATTTATTAACAAGATCTATAGAATTCACAACGTGATAATAATTTTAAAAGTGATAATCTACAAGAATGGTAAGGGTTAGTCACGTAGCCAAATATTTGATTTGATAAACTGACAACCGAATATTTACAATAATTATTCCGTGACAATATAGTAAGGATGAAACGTGCTTATCTTAATTATTCTTTGTTGGGTTTCTCCAATATTTCGATCTGGCCAACCGTCTTTCTTCTTCAAGAAGAATGCCTTTAGAATCCTTTTCTCCAATAGTATCTACGAGGACTGTGGGCCTTTTAAACAAAGTCACGGTAATTGACTGTTTTTGCATAAATTATTGTTATTCTTATTATTATTTGTTACACATTATGAAAACTTAAATCAATTTTACATATTTTATAAGTAGATTTGAATTTAAGGAATATATTGTTCTTATATCAATTCTGTTTATAATATTTTTGTGTCTGGAAAGCTGGACATCAAACCAGGACAAAAATAGTGCAAACAGAATTGATATAACAAAATTATAGAAAAACAGTTTAAACATACTCATTCAATATGAAAAAAAGATTTTAGTGCTCATAAAATACAACTTATAATAAAATAAGAAAAAGAAACAATAATTTATGCAAAAATAGCCAATTACAGTCACTTTTCTGTTTAAGAGACCCAGTCGTCATAGATTTTCCTCACAGATCTAGAGAAAGAAGATGGGCTGTTGGCCTGATCGATATATTGGATGAATCCAATAAAGAATAGTTAATCCAAAATGAGCATCTATTCTAAAAGAATGTTATATGGATTAATCTATATTAAATATGCTTTTACTTGTTTGCACTTATTTATATATCCACAATTTATATTTTCTTTAAAACCTTTAAACATACATTTATCTCTAATTTAATATATATTTTGGAATGCGTATACAGAAAAACTAAAATCCACCGGATTGGAATTTTACAAATAATAATATTGATAATTAACAAAATCATAAATATGTAAAATTATCTGCTGTAATAAAAAGAGAGGTCAATAAAAAGGAGGAGAAGGCTAGGAAGGAGAAAGTTAGCGCCAGGAGAAGTGCATCCAGGAAGCTCTCTACCACGTTACAAAGTGGCACGCGGAGAAGAAAGCAGCGCTGGAAACAAAGTTGCAACCTCTCTAAATGTGCCGCAGCTGTAGCAATAGTGTCCCCCGTCCTCGACAAATAAGATCAATAGGAGTAAAGTTGTAAGAAAAAATACGGCAAACGCCCATTTGGGTCAATTAGGAGAATCGATCGAAAGATCCAGGGGGCAGCAGTAGGCTGCGCACACCCGCGGTTGCCTCATAGTAGCGGTAGGTTCATTTTACCATGTGCTCCTGGTACCTAGCCATAGTAAACACACGCCACCCATTGTACATTCTCCTGCAGAACAGACAGTAGCTTGCTCGGCCGACTGCAGACATATCGACTGCTGCACTTTGACCTACTTCGAGGACCCATAGTTTACTGCCCGAAGTCTCCTTATTCATTGGCATGGGCGAAATTACAATTATATATTATTCTCTGGGAAATATTACCTCATCTTTTTCAACAAAATTTACTTTAGTATATTTCTAAAATTATTATTATATTTAGCAAAATTATAATATAGTATGCACGTTTATAGAGTTTAATAATACCATATGTATTTGCCATAAAATTAATTTTATATCTATTTATGACTTGCGATAATTATTTTATATTTTGAATTTAGTTACAATGTGTGTGAAGATTGAACATAATGCATTATTATATTATTTGAATAGCGGGTATATATTGAATTTTCTGTATATAATTTTGATATTTTATTAGTACAAAATTTATATATCTCTAATGTTCATATATTTTACTTTTAATTTCTATTAATTACAATATGAATATTATTTGTAAATACTGTATATGTACATTATACAAATAGGTTGTATATTTTCCCTGTGATTCTTGAAAAAAAGGCAGATTTATAAAGGCATTTGTAATATGCTTTGGGAATATAAATTCAAGTATTTATGTTGTTAGAATTAAGAAAATAGGTTCAGCATTACAGACATGACGTTTCATGTTTGTTAGGTATATTGTAATAGGTGTTGTTTTAATCGTCCAAGTTAAATATTTGGTTTTTAAAGATTCTACGTTCAACGGGAAGAGCTAATGGTCCATTATTTTTAAGTAGGTGACATAAGAATTACAGGTACTTTTGTAAATAAGACTATATTTTGGATTGAGTTGTAAAGATTCTGAAAATAGGAAAAATCCTTAAACGCCAAAAATATCAAGATGATGCCAAATTAGACCCTAACTGAAAGAAATATTACCCCATCCTAG